CAGCTAGATTATGTGATGAAAGCCTACATTTTGCGATAAATTCCTTGTTTTTCTGTGAAATTGGCTGATTCAAATAAAATTGCACTGTGAAATTATCAACAAGAAGTTGATACAATAGCCCTTCACTCGCTGTGAATATTTCCGGTTTTAATGAAAGCACACCTGGTGGCGTAAAGCCAATTCTATTTCAGTTACATTACCTGGAAAATTAGAAAATCGAAGCATCCATGCAGCACAAAAGTGGTTAGTAAATGGAAGCTTTTTCATTTGAGACTGAAAGGATATTGTTCCATTTTTCATTTTACCCTTTGAAAAAAAATACTTGTGCAACAAAGAGAATTGATTAGCAAAAAGGAAGCTCATTCAGCTATTGTAGAGTAAAAGGCTATTGTTGCGTTTTTTTTTTTTTTCATTGAAAACTTGGCCGATTTCTGTTTCACGCATGGTAACTTAACAGATAAATGCTTTGGTAGATATGTCTTAATTGACATACAAAGGCTATAGTTTATTGGAAAAACTCAATATCACATATAATATATAGAAAGATGTGAAGTAAACTTAGGTGAAAAAGGAAATATAAGTAACAAAGAACAACAAAAAAGCGATTATGAACATGCTCAAATTTTTTTAAAAAATCACATTACCTTTGTATCCATAACAACATAGTTCAAATGATACCATGGTAGGACTTTTGGGTCAGCGTTCACGTCATGAACCGCCATTTCCAAAGCTGGTACCACCCCAGCGCTGTTCCAGCCCTCTTTTACGTTAATGTCAGCGAACATGACGAATGTTAAATTCCGCATGGTTGTTGACCCATTCATCGCTATCGGTGTTGTAAGGCGTAACTGAGAATCAGTGGACGAGGGAAGTGAAAACGGTGCGGCAGTGGTTGCAGATGATCTGTTAAAAGCGAAAGCGGCAATAGTTAGCGACATTGGCCTTGCTGTGGTGCCAGACGCTCCTTTCCGAGTCGTCACATTGATACTAGACTCCCGTACGCGAGATGTCTCGTTTGTGTACGCCTCATTTCCACGTATTGACTCCAATGATTGAGAACCGCTGTTCGGTTTAACCGTCCCAGAGCCTGAAGACGTCGTGTTTTCAGTCACTGTGTCACCTACAGTGAAGCCATTCACCGAAAAAAGGTTGCAAACGAACATTGTAACGAAGATCGAACCGACTGGTGGTAGATACATGTTGCAAGCGTGGCAAGATTACATTCCATATACCTTAGAGTACAATACCAAAACGTGAAACAGTGTTGAAGTACAGCCAAACCAAGAAATCAGTTCATAACAACTTTAAATGCAAATCCGTGTTGTTGATTGTATGTTAAACAGTCACAGTATTTCCTTTACATATGTGTGTCCTTGACTGATACAAAAGCCCACAGGAATAGAAACAAGGTCAATACGGTTGATATAAAAACTTAACATCTAGATTAATTTGTGCTCTTCTCTCATGTCGCCCAGTCCAATGCCGACTGTTCCGCGCCATGCGTGCTGAGCAGGCGTAGTTCTTCAGTACTCTTTATACATAAACCTGCCAAGCTTACAACTGAGGAAATCTGTCAATTTATTAATGAATTGCCAGACACGGAAAAATTCATCTCTAGGTCACGAATCGCTGCCATATCGAGTGCGTACCGTGGTTAATCCACACACGTGATACATCAAAAATTGATATGAATATACCAATGAAAAGAACTCATCAAACTGTTGCGTTGAACATTTCGAATAAGCCAGATAGACTCTTTCTACCCTGTTTCCGTAATACGACAAGTTCGTATGTGCCTATTAGAGTTGACGTCAAGCTAACAGCTTGGTTACAAAAACAAATATTTGGGCCTTTATCTTATGTCTCAAAGCAACCACCATATAACTGACAGGTTGAAAATCAACCTGCACATTTTTGGACTAATGCCGTGTATATGTATTTTATGTTGAACTGATTGCCACTCTAGATGTCCGCCTTTGATCTGTCCCTGTAATTAAATACACTTCTAATTGCGCTGGTTGAAATAGAAACCTTGTAACAAGTATCATTCTTTGAATTATTTAACAGAATTGCTCTTCCGTATAAGTGCTAAAATGACAATCAATCTTTTGGCGCCATGTAATGATCATGCGATAGTATTAAATGAATGTTTCATGTGTATTTCCGCCTGCATGTACTAGCCATTGAGGAACCATGGGAGAGGTGAAAACATGTTGTTCGCATATTTTGTGCATCTGTTGCATACAATACAATACAATACAATACAATACAATACAATACAATACAATTCAATGCAAAAAAAATGTGCGCGGTGTGCGGTTCCATTAATAGGTCAATAAATTTTACTGTGATCAACCCCCC